CATACCCTATTTTATGGAGGGATCGTGATCGGAACATGGACCTAGACGAGTATAGCTCGCTAAGCCATAACAACCCTCATTACATTCATTCATTCATAACTTGGGCCATTTACCTTAATCATCATGCATAAAAGCATACAATATCAACACATGCATGCATCCATAGGCAACTATACACAATTATAGAACTTTTCAACATAAATAGTGTAAGTGCATTCATTTCATATTATCATCATAGTGCCACAATCTCATGCACTGTACCATATAACATTCATCTGCACCCTTAGGTCTTTATGCAGGCTCTCAAGCCACCTTTGGATAGGAAAAGTAAAAACTGACTCGTAAATAGAACATGAACCAACTCTCTAGGCATTAAGTAGTTGTTAAACACCTATCAAAGAAAGAAGATCGGGAGCTAGTCTCTATGACAAAAGTAGTAAACTACTCACTAATTTGTAAGACAAAAATAGGGAAAATAGCATGTACTTGTAATCACATATCATTCATAAATCTTGTAATCACATGTCATTCATAAATCTATGAGTGGACAAAGACTCTGTGAGTGGATACAAGGTAAGGGACAAGCCAAAGGTGAGAGTTTTTCATAACCTTGCACTTGTAATCACCTATCATTCATAAATCTTCCTTCATTTCCATAATGATCATGAAAAATGGCATTTAAATACATTCTCAATAGCATGTAAGTGAAAAAAAAAGTTTGTATAATCCATTAGGAACCACTTACCTTTGAAAATCCTTTTAAAACACTTGAAAACTCATTTTTGTGAAAAATCTATGGATACATTAGAAATCTATTGATACATTTTACACAGAATGCTTTCTTTTGCATTTTATCCAAAATGTATCAATACATGTTCTTCATGTATCAATACTTTAGGCACAAAACCCTTTTTTCTATGTAGAATCCTACATATAACCTTTCCTTATGTCCTACTATCTCATAGGGTTATCCTTCTAGGCTAGAATTTGACTAACCAAACTTTCATTTGTTACATTCTAGTATATGTCTCCTTATCAATATACATTCAATCAAAAACATAAACTCAAGATCATTAATTCATAGAACCATTCTAATAAGCCATAAACATTTCATAACTTTTTAAGTGTTCCTTATCCTATTCAAGCAGTTAGTGATTCAATCCTCGCTACCTAGGATTCTTAATGCCCTCTATGAGTGGCATATCAGCCTTACCCATAATCTTTGAGTGGTTTCGGCCCAAGTCAAGCAGATAGTGATTAATCCTCACTATTTTCATAAGATTCCTCAAGTATAGAATTGTTCTTATCCATAACTTGCATTATAAAGTAAAATCATCCTCATAATTCATTATCATGCTTAGCCTATAGTGTATATGAATTCTCAATACATACATCTCATGGCATACATTTCATATTTTATCTTATAAATCATTCTTATGTCTAGCCTATAGTGTACACGATATTTTCAACACATACATCTCATGGCATACATTTCATATCTTATCTCATAAATCATCGTCATATCATAAAAGGGAAATTATCATCCTTTAAACCTATCATCATACATAACATGCATATCATAGTTGTTCATAATCTCATAGATGGAACTTATGCATCCTTCAACCTTTACATGCTACATTATGTCAAGCATGTACATTATGCCATTCATATCATTTTGAAGAAAAATATTTGAAAGGGCTTGTCCTACCTTGTTGAAAACTAATACATAGTAAGATATTTATAGACATAGCAGATTTGTAAACAATTTAAAAATCATTTGTGTTAACTCACTCCAGAAATCATCATTAAATCAACTTTTTAATCATGCCTTTCGAAAACTAGTTGAAAAACCTTGAACTCAAATCCTTTGATAAACCATTCTTTGAAACAATATTTTATCATGCATAATTAATCATTTCCATAAAAATCGTGCTTACTTTACATATTAAAATACTTGAAAAGGTGTATCCAATCACCTAATTGAAGACTCGATCTCTAACAATGAGTAAGACTCTACTCTAGCAATCTCCTTGAAGGTTTCAACCATTCTTAACATTCAACAATCATTACGATCAATATCTAGATTTATAATTTCAAATAGCTATTCTAGGTTCTTTTGAAACTAACTAGATTCATCGAAAACTAATTTTCTACCTCAAACCCATTGCTATTTAACATAATAAATTCTTAGAAACCAATAAATCCTTCATCCTTACCTTAGGTGAGTTTTAGTGCTAAGGAAAATTGCAAAACGTTTGAGCTTTGTAATCAATAGAAAATATAGGCATAAAAACAATAAATTCTTAGTTCTAAAAAATCAAGATTTAAAGGTTTCAAAGTTGAAAAATGTCACCTTGTTCATAAAAACTTAAAACCGAGTTTTCAAATCTTCAAAAATGGTGACTTGGGTGAAAAATCGGTGTAAGATGGTTAAAAGGTGAAGGAATACTTGATAAAAACAGCAAAAGGTCAAAAATCCTCATAAAATGTGACCTATTTATACTTTGGAGTGTGAAAACACAATTTTACTCTTTTATTTTTCTGAAAATGATGAAATGCATCCATACATTGGGCCCATGTATCAATACATTGGTTTTTGGAAACTTTCTATCTATACATTTGGCATGTATTGATAGAATTTCGTCGAAATCTTTTTGGAAAGCTTTCTAGACTAAATCTATCAATATATATGGTCATGTATCAATAGATATTCTTCAAACTTCTTTTTAAAGGCATTCTAGGTTAAATCTATCGATACATAAAAAATATGTATGGATTTGCCCTAGTATGTAAAAATGCACTTAGAAACTTGTCCAAATGGACTTCTTTTAACATCCAATCTTGCCAAACATAATAACATTTCAAAACATAAATTTTTCTAAGGTTAGAAACCGAATTTAATGTTTCAAAACAATAACTTCACATATTCATCCAATAGTTTCACACAATATAACTCTAACTAATTAACAGGATTCTCTTCACTAGATATTGTAGTTTAATTAAGTAATAGGTAATAATATTGTATTATAACTCTTATTAAATAATTTGTATAATTTTCTTAACAGAATTTATAAGTCATATTTCCCTACGTTACTCAAAGGGAATTTTCAAAGTCTATGATTGTAGCCCGTAGACTATTGATTGACAAAGAAATATGAAAACCAAGGTTTTGAAAAAGTTTGGTTTAGCTATTTCGATTGATGGCTTCGGCTAAAAGGTAATTATCTTAATTTTTATATTTTTTTAATATAATTAATTATATTATTATAAAATTATGAAACCTATAAAAATACGAGATGTTTTGATGGCTTATGCTAAAGCCGGTCTTCTTAGCAGAAGGTTGGTAGGAAACAAAAGATGGTTTTATACTTGGGGTTTTGCAGGGAGGGCTCCAGACGGTTGGTAGGACAACAAAAAGAATTAACAAAAAAAAGGGGAGAAGGAGAAAAAAAAGGAAGGAGCGGGAAAAAGAGAAAGGGGAGAACAAAGAAAGAAGTCAAAAGGCCTTTGGGAAAAGAAAAGGTAATTTTTTAACTTCCTGTTTTATATATTTTTCTTTTAATTAAAAATGAAAGATTTCAATTTTACTTTTTAAGCATGAAAATCGTAATTTAATTAATGAATCAAATAGTCGAGTGTTTCTGTTCTTTTATATTTAAGCTCACTTGTTTTATGTATTTTGCATAAACTTATTTTGTTATTGGAAAATTAAAATGTGATGGCTCCAATGGAGTTCATGGAGGAGCCTCAATTTCAACACATATGCACTGCCCCAGGCACTAATGAAAATATTACACTGCTGAAATTGAAATGATTCATGTAATTTAAGCATTCACGCTGAATTCAATGAAGCCCGAGGTGGATTTAGGCATACTCTACAATTTGGGGTGACTTCAATATATGTTTAACAATGAAATTATGGAACTTGCTTGTTTAATGGAGACTCAGCTGCAGGAGGCAGATTACTTTCCAAGAAAAGCCAGGCTGCTTCGGATGAGGCAATGTACTCTCACCACGCAACATGAGCAGATGGAATCACTGATGAGATTAAAAAGACACAGGAAAGCTTCTCGATAATGTTAATATCGAACAATTTCCAAATAAATTCCACGAGAAAGCTAACCATATATAAAGAATAAATACAAATAACTATGAAGGCTTGAATTAAGAATAGTATAGGAATAGCTAGCTTTGCACAAAGTATAGTTTGATTTACCTAGAGTTATACATGTGTCTGGATGTCTACTTAATCTTATATTTTTATTAAACTTTATGAAAATATATAGTTCTCTCTCGTCCATAAATCATACATTCCTTTTAAGTTTTGAATCTAAATTCGTGATTTTAAAAAATCAATTTTCGTAATTCATGTAAGTATATGCACATTTTTATACTTATTAAAATCGAAGTAAAACAATCATTTTGTGTTTTACATATAATTTTATATAATAACAAAAAGCTAATTCTTTTAGGATGAAAGTGAATTGACTTTGAAATGAGTTTCCAAGTCAATTTCAAATTACTAGTTTCCTATCTTCTGTCTTCAACATTACTGCTGTAAGTTTCCTTCACCATTAGATTATTAACTTTTGTATTTACATCATAAATAAATTAACTACTTATTTAATTTGGATTATTTTTAAATTTGTTGAGAAGGAAATTTATTAAACTGTCCTCAATTAAGGTGGTCGCTATATAAACTTATTTATGGAACTTATAATTTCAGCAGATTTATGGTCATGCTCATGCGGCTGATGTTTTGGTGTAGTGATGTGACGTGATTATCTTGTTTTAGAGTAATCTAATTTTCATAATAGTAATTGTGTTTCGATAAGATTCTATAAGAAACCAATAAAAACTACACAACTTTAATTAAAAATTAAATAAGTATGATTAATCTGACAAATCAATATGAGTATTTGGATTAATCACTTTTAATATTTTTGGGGTTCAGAGAGAAGAAAGATATTAAATACAGAATGTGATGCATGCATATCTTAGCTCATCACTGTGAAAATGGAGTACCACCTCATCCATTCTTGTTTTCTTCCTGATCAGGTCTTAACGAAAAGCCAAGCTGCCCCTACCTCCATTTGTCAAGTGACAAATCCAACTACCGTGGCTCTAACAGGGTAACGGTGCACTCATTTGCAGAAGATGATTTACAGTTGCTTGTTGAAGACTCAGCTTCAGGCATATTCCTCCTTGTGAAAAACCCTGGCTGCTTTGGTTGAGGCAATGCACTTTCACTGCCTAGCATTAAAATTACAGAAGACATGTTTGGTCTATCTTCTGGTCGTTGCTGCACGCACAATAATCCCACATGAATGCATCGCTGCACTTCAGATGGCAAGCGAATGTCCCCAAGGGCATCACCAATCAGTTCCATTGGCCTCCTTTCTGTCCATAATCTCCATGCCTGAAATCTCAAAAATTCAGAATCATGATTTCTACCTTGGAAATTCAACATGGTTAACAATCTCAACATTTAACCCTACATGTCCGAGAAGATTGTGATCATGATCTGGGTGGGAAAATCCCCTGTTCTTCTTTCCACTTACTATCTCAAGGACAGAACCCCAAAGCTAAAGACATCAGATTTCATTGAGAAAACCCATCAATGGCATATTCAGGCGACATATAACCACTGCGAATATGTTGTCAAAACAATTTAATAACAACGTAAAGGATAGCCATAAAGAAAGATTTGATTAACTTTGTACTTACTATGTTCCGACCACTTTATTTGTGTTGGCCTCAGTTTGCTCTCCCCAAAATGTTTTAGCTAAGCCAAAATCTGAAATTTTTGGATTCATTTCATTATCCAGTAAAATGTTGCTAGACTTGAGATCTCTGTGGATTATTCTAAGCCTAGAGTCTTGATGAAGATAAAGAAGTCCTCGAGCAATTCCACCAACAATATTCACTCGCTTACTCCAGTCTAGTAGTTTGCTTCTTGTTTGATCTGATTCAGTTCCCAATGTTAGCCAAACCACTAATAGAATCCTTAAAGAGAAGGTGTCAGAGAAAAAGATTTCGAAACATGAAAGGAATAGTGAAGGACCAAACCGAAAATAAAGTAGTCCAAACTTTGTTGGCCATGTATTCATAGATTAACAATTTTTCATCTCCTTGAATGCAACAGCCGAGAAGCTTTACAAGATTGCGGTGCTGAAGTTTGGCAATCAAAATAACTTCATTTTTGAATTCTTTCAGCCCTTGTCCAGAATCCTTTGACAGTCTCTTTACTGCTATGTGCTGCCCCTCTGCCAATGTACCCTTTAAGACCATAACAAATAAATGTTTTACTTACAAGAAATATACATGCTGCAGAACTTGAATGACGCTGCGGTAGCACATCGTTGCTTTACCTTGTAAACAGATCCAAATCCACCTCTTCCCAGCAAGTTCTCAATAGAAAAGTTATTTGTGGCATTTGCTATGGTCCCAAAATTAAATAATGGCAATTCCATCTCTTCGTTCTCCCTTTCATCACAATCCAATGCGCGATTCTTTATTGTCAATCCTGAAACAATGCACAATGTATTGGCATTAGTACAAGCACCTTATGTTTATAGTTAAGTCAGGCGTTGTGGGGAAAGCATTCACAGCAACGTTAGTAAAAATCATTTCAAACTTGAAAAAATAGGGGCTGGTTATGAGGACTAACAGCAGACATTTTAATCCGCAATTTATGCCAGATAAGCAGCTTTTGCTTAAGTTTCAACATAAGTAATCAAGTTTATTTACCTTTCTTATTACGTTTCCTCCACAGAATACACAAGACGGGTAGTATCAGCATTCCCATTCCTATTATGACAGAGCCGACTACAATTGCTACTCTCTTTTTCTCCCATGATTCCCTCTTGTGTATGATATTATCTGAAAGATTTGAGATGAAGTCAGAGATGTGGGTTTTCAGTTTTGTTGCTAGTTAGAATAAATAATTCTGCAAAAGACAAACTGTCATGTCCATAGTTCCAAAATTTTCTTCCTTCTTTCCTTCGCTGCCATCCAAAGATTGTCCTGAGCATACCTAGTTCATGAGCAAAGTACGTGAAAAATGTTCTCTAGTTTCTACTCGTATTGATTCTTAACTCTAAATCCTACTTCTCTAGACTAAATCCCTCAGGATACAATTGCATGAATAAATATTGATAAAAAAAGACTTCAACATGATCCATAGTGAAAAGAAGAGGACAAGTACCTATTTCAGAAGCAGCAAGTCGAATATAAAGGTCTTGCCCATCCTGGCCCTATCATCTCTCATGTCCAACAGATCACCAAACCAGAGCAGGCATCCGCTTCCCCCTCTCTGATATCTGATTTGAATATGCAGTGCAAGAGCAATCACTCAAACATAACTGCCTACATTCTTCGATGTTCATGGTCATGTTAACCTTGGAATGAGACGTGTCTGGCAATTTCAAACCCGTGCGCTTGTGAAAGCTATCTCCATTGTTCAAAACCAATGGAGTTCTTCTAACACACCCATCATACCAAACTCTTGAATTCCACTTTCTACTAATTTGGGCGTGAATCCTTCCAAGCATGAACACAACATCTGGAGAGTCATTTCCATTGCAGGTGGCATATGTTCCACAAAGGGCATAGTTCTCACACTGATCAAGATATGACGTTGATAAAGACTCCCAATCACGTTGTTTATCACTCCATAAAAGGATCTGAGCAAAGCCTGATGGGTTTAGCATGATCCTAGTAACTACTGAACTGTTTTTGAGCTCCGTAGCATAATAGACTTCATTCTCATTCAACTCAAATTCATGTTTGAAAGATATTATATTTGGTCTCATCGCTGTAAAGCGAAGACCATTCCATGATCCTGCTCTGTACTCTATTTTAGATCCTTTCTCAATTACTAGTTGTGGATATCCACTGATTTTTATACGTATAAAGTACTGGCCTGGAGTAGGATCATCTGTACTTTTCCAGGATGACAGAAACCTCTCAAAACCTGTCACTAAGTTCTTCCCTATTTTCATTCCTGGAAGAAGAGTATCACAAGGATAATCAAAACTCTGCCATAGATTGTCTTCAGCTGGGTTGTTGTCTTTTCCATCTTTTACTACCATATTTCCTGAGTTGAGAAGATGAGCAACGGGTTCTTGTGCAGCTTTTGATATATTAGATGACCAAACAGTGCTATTTGTGCTATTCAGAAGCGAAAGAATTCCATGGTTGGAGAAAAGTAAGGCTCCTTTATTATCAGAAATTGGAGTTTCTCTATTTGCCACCCATACAACCGTTCCATTAGATACTTTCTTGTACCATATTCCTAAAAATCGACTTGTGGAACTTACTGTGGGGCTGAAGAATCCAAGTTCGAAGCTCCCATCCGCTGAAACCAGAGTTTCACCATCTCTAATGGATTGACTTGGAGACAGTGTATCTACTGCATTAGCAGTCCTTAAGATGGAGAAAACAAATAAATATACAAGAAGTAACAATGAAATGCCTTCCATTGATTTTCTCATGTTCACCCTTTTCGTCAAGTTTTAAATAAATCTTTCGGAAAAAAAAATTAGGACACTATTAAGACAACCAGAAATACAGAAAGGGAAGCTCCAAATCATAGATGGGTCTACTGGCAGTTCTCGTAAAATGTGAAACCTGTGATTATTTTAACGAAGGTTGGCTCATCGTTACGGTTTTTCCTTTGTCTGGAAGAAGACGCATTGAATTGATAATACAGAATTCCCCTGCGTTACTCAAGGGGAATTTTCAAAGTCCCCTGCGTTACGCAAGCGAATTTTCAAAGTCTGCAGTTGTGGTCCATTGACTAATGATTAACAAAGAAATCTGAAAAACAAGGTTGTGAACGAGTCGTTCCAATTGAAGTGCTGTTGTAGTTTCTTATATTAAAGAAAGTTTTGCTCTCTTTTGCTTTGCCAATTCAACTAATTAGTCTTGTCTTGTCACTTTTACACATATTTTTTTTTTATTTTACGCAGTTCTGTGCTCTCAAAGTGAGAAGTTGAAGCTGAGATGAATTGTTGCGAATAATGGAGATGGACGACGACAAAGAAAAACTTGAATGTTTCAAATTTCCAGAGCTCCTTACTATGGCTTCAACTTTTTCATGTGAACACTAAAGATCATTCTGATCCAGTGTAATAACTTAGGTTGGGTCACTCGCCCAACAACTTTTAAAGATCACGTGATCGACTTCAACTTTTAGTATAGATACTTAATTCTTTAAAGTCTTCCTCAAAATCACTGTTGCCAGCTTAATTTTTATATGAATTTAAACTAACACGCAAATGCAGGTGCGGTGAACAAGTAATAAAGTGATAAGTACAAGTGTCGATCTCAGAAGTTGGCTATAATTCTTCACTAAGTACTAAAATTGAGTCAAGCTAACCTTATCCAACTTAACCAAAGTATGGAATATGATTAAAAACAAACTAATTGATTAAGCTAATTAAAGACATGCAAGGTAGAATAATTTGGAAGCAATATTTTAAAAGTCTAAGATTATGGCTTCATTCAACATTTCACTTGGATTGTTATTCCTCTAATTACTTAATTCAATGGGATTTGATGCTAATCTAGAATCCTAATGCTTGTACAAACCTATGTCTAGGCATTTGTACAATAATTACCTAGATTAATTGGGTCTCTATATGTCTATAGGATTCAATTAAACTAGATTCTTTAAGCACAATTTCTCCTTAGATTATAGTTGGAATTTAGGCATATGTCTACCCTAATTGCTAATCAAGACACTTAATTTCTAAGTGATAGTCAAGTCTCATTTAAATACCACAACCAATCAATTGGTGATCAAGCAATCAATGGTCAATAAATTTAGATTTGAATAAACATTAAAATACCCATTCAAAATAGGTAAAAGAGCAACAAATAATTCAAGTTACATGTAGAAATCCACCAAAATCTTAGATGAAAGCTATTTAGTTCATCATAGTTATAGCACAGTTTAATATTTCCAGAAAATAAGTCATTTCTGCAGTGGAAGATAGAGAGAGAAAAGAAAAACTAGTGAAAGAAATGATTCACTGTAGCTCTTAGAACCAAAATCTCCTTTGATTCCTCCCTTTTTCTCCTTTTGTAGAAAGCATCTTTTTTCAGCAAAATATTCTTTGCTTCCAGTGCCCTTTTCTAATTAAAAAGATCATATTTATAATCCCTATTAAAGCCCTAGTTGCCAAATTCAACATGTGCAAAATTGAGACTATATCGGCGCCACGGCGCCATGCTTGCTGTGTGGTGCAATTAAGCTAACCCAAGGTGGCACCGTGGAGCTAGGAGCATGGCATCGTGACACCATGCTTGCTGCCTTGGTGCCCTGTGCCCTTAGCCTCTATGTTCTTCCTATTGCAGTTTAGTCATTTCTTATATGATTTTGACCATGATTCGATCAGAACTGGACAAAGTAATAAACACAAAAGTTGTAAGCCTTTCACTAAGCTTTCTAGTGATCCAATTTAAATCTCTTCGATTGGACTTCTGTTATTTGTGTTACTAAGCAGTAGCGTCTAGGATTGTATTTTATTTAATTTAGTTTTTGCTAATTTTAGTTTATTTAGGAATTATAAGAATTCTTCTTTACTTATATTAGGATTTTAAGCTAATTATGTTCCATTTAGGAATAAAATATCTATTTCATTTAAATCTCTTGTTAACTACTCTAATTGTATTAGACAACATGAAATAGAGTTTATTAAGATGTGGGTCTATAATACTTTAAATAGTTCCTTTAGACTTAGTTATGAGAAATTCAAGTTGAGAGTTAATAAATAATATTTTCTTAAGTAGGAGTGTTTTTTTCTCTAAGCTCTTTTCATAAAGTAAAAGATTTTAGTATCTTTGACGTAGTCAACTATGGTGAGATTTTGGCTATTCTTTCACCTTAGTGGGATTTTCAACTTTGCCAAGATTGGTGATTCACCTTAGTAGGGTTTTCAACCTCACCACAATTGGTGTCTTTCATAATGTCCACGTGTCTTTACAACGCCTCAGTGTCAGTTACCCTCAAATTACTACAACATAGTGAGAAATCTCTTGAAGCTTCTTTACACCATTCTTTGCCATTTGAACCCAACATGCTTGTGCACCTTCAATAATGAAGGACTTAATCAATAGAGGATAAAAATTGAACTTTTATACTAGAAATAAGCTAAAAGAACTCAATTAACAATACTCAAACATGCTTTAAGCTAATTAATGAAAAGATGTAAAAGCTACCTAAAATTGACTAAAAAAACACAAAAGGACTTCACTCTTTTATGTTGTGCCAAATAACTCAATAAAATAGGGTTATCACACTCCCAAAATTAACATTTTGCTAGTCCTCAAGCAAAACTTAAAATAAAGAAAGAACATAAACATCGAAAACATTGAACTATGATTTGGTTGCACCAATCCAAAGATCACTTTTAATTCCTCATAAGTCATCTTATTTCCTCAACATCCTAAGCAAAATATAAATATTATTCAAGTTCACACTTCACTAAATTGCAAGCCCATTTTGAAATGAAATCCCATGTGTGAGTGTGGAGTTTCACACAATGAAAATCATGCCACTTGATAAGTTTATACTTATGCAAAAATTTAATTTAGTCAAGAATTTCATATGTTTGCTCTTCATCTCTCTCTTCATTAACATAAACTCACACTTACTCAAGGATTCTTAAGACTTAATCAAGCTTGTGATGTATGGCTCAGGTCAAGGTAGGATATAGGATAATATATGGCTCAAAACACCCTAAGCACATAATTATTCTAAGATCTATTCTAGTCACCTTTTTCTTCTCCCTTTTTCTTTCATCAAACACTTTATTCTTACAATATATATATATATATTCACTATATATATAAATATTTTAACACCCCAAAACTTATTTCTTTTTATGGTAGATAATAAGGTGAATATTTTCACAAAATTTTGAATTTTTCCACAAACTAAACTTATTTAAAGGCTAAAGCTATTTAACTATGCGTTTAACAAAGAAGATGAAAAATTAGGCTCATAAGGGATAACTAAGGATAAAATATAATACGGTAAGCTCAAAAGCTCAAATGATCCAAAGATGGCCTAAGTCAGTTCTCTAACTAAGTGTAACCTAGGATTTCATATCGAGAAAAATTAAATCAAATTCTAGAGCTCAAGATTTTATTAAAAAATTTATACTTACATAAACATTCTCAAAATAAACACAATTATTCAAAGCAAGAAACATGTGCTCAATATGGTAGAATTCACATTCTACAATGATGCTCAACAACCAAGTTCAACATAATACTCAAACAATATTCACACTTACTCGGAACACAAGGATAACAAGACAACTATTTTTCTTCATTAGATAAGTAAATCAAAGCAAATGGTGCAATAAATCATAGCCAATATTTTCAGAAAAAACAAACTTGCTAAACTTTAAAGCTAAACAATTTACTTAAATTGAACTAATAACATGTTAACACATAAAAAGCAAAGCAAAGTTTAAAATTTTAAACTCTCTCCCAAACTTAAAACTAATATGGTTAAGGAAAGAAGAACTCCCTTGGTCTCACTCTTTCTTTTCCTCATCATTGTCCTCGTCAGCATTGGGATCCTCCAACATTGATGGAAAGCTGGTCCTATCCATCCCCATGTGAAGTGCGAAAGCATTGAACATTTGCTCCATTGCTCTTGTACAATTTGCTTGATGCGCCATTTGGTGTTCTCGACGTTCCAATCTTTGAGGTATGGTAAGGTGTGTCGAGTGTGGTGGAGGTCTTAGTGTAGAATATGAACTCCCACCAACAACGGAGCCCAATTTATGAATGATGTTGAGATCCAATTGTGCCTTTAGGTGCAGAAGTTTTTCTTCACTTGACCACTACACTCCTACTTGTTTACATGGTGCTGTGATGAGCAATGGGTACCAAATGCTGTCCCTAGCTGAAATGGCATAGTGAACAATGTTATTGAAAATCAGCTTGCCAACATTAATGGATTTACTTGTGACCATGGCATAGAGTAGGATTGCTCTATCCTTAGTGACATCACTCAAGTGTTTAACTGGAAACATCTTAGCTGTGAGGAAGTGGTACCAAATTCTGAAAAACTTGTCCAATACGTTAACCTTGAATGAAACTAGGATCCCTTTGGATATTTTCCATTGTGTGCCAGGGTCGCAAAGGAAGGTGATGACCTCATAAAGATTCACATTGCCATTCGCATAATGCGCATACTCATCATTTTCAATCTCCGATATTTTACAAAATTGGTTAATAGTGAGGCTATCAAAAGGCACTCTCTTACCTCTACAAAATGTAACTCTATTTTCATGCTCATATGCATTAGCATGAAACTTTCTAACAACTGGCATCATTGCTGCTTCAGGATGAGCACAAAAATTTTCTGCTGTCTCGCTATGATTACACTCAAATATCATATCCATTGTCACTAGTTCTAGCTCTTTTAGGTGCCATAATTCAACTTCACTTTTACCATAATTCAAAACACCCAATTAACTCCAAATATCTCCTCAGTAATTTTGACTTATTCAATTCTCTTAAAAATCTAAACTAACAACAAGAATATTACCTATAATCACCAAATTAATAGAAATCTCTTGAATTTGCAGAAAATTGGCACTACTCACTATGACCAACTAATCCAATTCTCAC